TTGAAACAATTGAAAGTTAACGAAACAAACTACATGACAGTGCTCGATTTTAAGGCTATGTACCCTTCAGTTAAGCTTGAACCATGCTTTTGTCACCTAAGAGATTTTTTATTGGGCAATGTAAAGAACGCAGTAAAGTTAAGAAAGCAAATTCTAGAACTGGCGCATTTGGCTACTTTCTCGTCACTTTTCGCCTTTGACGGTACTGCATACTCGCAGCTTAGAGGAGTACCAATGGGTAGCCCGGTCTCAGGCTTATTGTGCGAGATGGTAATAAGATCTCTGGAAAATAACGTATTGCAGAAATATGAAGATAATATGATAATGTATGCTAGGTACGTCGACGACGTATTTATTATTTGGAATAATAAACCAGACATACGCCAATTTATTGGAGATATTAACAGTAATATTTATGGCCTTGAGTTAGAACTAGAGCAGCAAAATCAAAAAAGAATACATTTCTTAGATATAGAGATCGAAGTCGATGAAGAAGGGGTAATCAATACAAAAGTATATAGAAAGCCGACGTACGTTCCGGATTTGATACCATGGTTCTCGCATGACCCAACAAGCTACAAACTAGCAGCGTTTAGAGCATTAATTAAAAGAGCATACACTCATTGTAGCAGGATTTATGATACACGTAAAGAGCTGGAGTACATCGAAAAGCTAGCAAGAGATGTAGGAATTAAGGAGAATAAAATAAAAGCCTTAATACGAGCAGAAAAAGAAGGCAATAAAAGTAAAGTTAAAAGAGAGAAAAAGGAGTTCACTGTAATGGAATACAGGGCTCAGTTAAGTAACATTTACAGAAAAATAGGAATAGAAAGCAACAAGAAAATAGCATATAAGAGAAACACGACAATATTTCAAATGCTAAGAAACGACAAAACACCCGTTGACAGGAGGCTGATCCCAGGTGTATACAGAATACCGTTGTATGATAGGAGGCTAAATAAGGAGTTATATTATATAGGAGCCACTAAAAGATCATTAAATGAAAGATTGAAGGAGCACAAAAAGAATGTAAGCTTTAAACAACCAGTCACGGCTTTGGCCAATTACGCGATAGCAGATCCAACAGAGATCGACATCAAATGGAGCAAGGCAGATGTCATACAAAAAGTGAAAAATATAAAACATCTAAAATATGCAGAAGCCTGGCACATTTACAAGAGCAAAGAAAAAGGGCGTAATATAAATTTCCGTGAATCGAACAAAATAGCGTCGGCATGGAAAGCGGCAACTTTAAAATTATAAAATTATATTTATGAGCATGCGCAATCGAGAAGAACGTGCAGTTTGGAATCTCCGTTATGCAAATTTGAAATATATTTCGATTGATAATTCGATCCTGATGAAGGTTTGTGAATCAGACCGAAAACGTTCGACAGATGTAAACTAGACTGCATTTTAAAGGTATAGTGAATTTTTGCTAAAACACTAAATTATTTTTATATAAAAATTGACCACAATTAAATATCAAAAAATTAAAATAATGTTGAATTATGTCTACTTTTTAATGAAAATATTGTTTTTTATTCATTATTATTATTATTATATTTAATAAATGAAATATAATAAAAATATTAAATATTATAAAATAAAAATTGTCTATATAATTTCCTAACAATTGCGACAAAAAGTAAACATCCAGGATATAATACAACTTTCTAGTTTTACGCAATCTTATGTAAAAATGTACAGTATACATAACCCAAACTATTTCTTATTTTAATGTTTATATTTTATTCTATTTAATTTAAATATATCATAATACTTTAAGAGTATAAAATTAAGAGAGGTTTTAGCTTTTTGAGTTGTAATTTACAGATAATACTTTTATTCTTAAATTAATAAAAAGTTTTCTGAAATTTGTAAGAATAATTTTTTTGAAAACATAGAATATATCACAAAACCACTTAATAAATTATATACAAAATTTTCTATATATACATTATACATTTTAATAAACAAATTATATAGCCAGATTTGTTATCTGGTTATAACTTAAATAATTAAATTTACAGATATTATTATTACATAATTTGGACTAAAAGTAGATGATTAAGTTGATATGTACTGTAGGCAATTAAGTCAGTTTTCTAAATACAGTACTATATATTTTTATAAAAAATCAGAGCTGTGAAGTCATCTAAAAGTCTACCAACTCTGACTCCTACTCCAAACAGAGGCAGACTTGTTAACAAAATAGTCCCAGAAATTCTGATGCCATCATGTGATCTCAGAATAAAAGCTTCAATAAATAGAGTTCTAATAAAAATAGAATATAAAAACTTTTTCCAAAGCTAAAAGACTCCTCTAAATAATGACATAGTCAATATATAAGTATGTACTGTATTACCTTTCCAGATGTTATATATAATAGAGGAAAAATATAGCAATCAAAAAATGACCTCTCCAAATTTTTACATTTAAGTACTCAAGACACCTTGAAATGTCAAGATATGCAAAAGATTTGGTGTTTTTTATCTGCATGTATGGATGTTAGAATGTGTGTGTGTGTGCGCGTGTGTGTGTGTGGCACAATTTCGTTCACCCTGTTTGTTTGAAATCCTGTAGTCTCAATAGAAGGGCAAGCTGATAGGATTTCTGTGCATCCATTTTCTGAGGAAAACACTATTGGTCACCAATGTGATCGTTTTAAGCAATCACATTGGTGTTTTATGGAATCAATACTTTGTAACATCTCATGAGGAAACATCTTATGCAGGAATTTTTAACAAGCATATTATGGGCAGGACTGACGAGATAAAATGGAATGATGAGATAAAATTTCCCAGGCCTGGAATTCAGAGGAACCTGGACATCATTCCACAACTTTTTTCCATCATTCCTGAGACCCATGTAAATTTTCTCCTGGACCGGCGACATCTTTCAACACCACTGTTTATGGGCAAAATGATGATACTGCAGAATTTGAATGACTTTGAATGAGGAGAAAAAACATCTCAGGAGAAAAAACATCTTAATCAGGTTTTACTGTACTATTATAAAATGAGAAAAAGCTTAATTGTGAGGGTACACATGAGTTTTATAAAACATTGCAAATGCTAATAACGAGTAAAATACTCATTAAGTCTGACCACACTGGAGAAATGACACGACCCTCTTCTATGTCTCCACTGTCAACCTTTATTTAAGAACCAAAATTTAATAGCATTAATGCCCCTTTATATACAAGCTATCATGCCAAATTTAGTTTCTTAAACTTTACCCATTCTGAAACAATATCTCAAAACAGAATAAAGAAAATAAAAAATTAGATGCCAACACACACACGAATTTTCCTCCTTTATTTGACATTTTTTTGGTTAAGGTCTCCAAGCGTGTACATTTGCAAAATTCTCAGAGGGTCAAATTTGACACGATTCCAATACTTTTCCATTTTACATACATAACAAGTCGGGAAATTAAGAAGGAATTGGAGTTGGCAGATTTTTCGACTCCGACTAAAATACCAAAACTCCATGACTCTGACTCCAACACCATAGCCCTATAAAAAATGTATAGTACTGTACAGGCTGACAGTTAAAACAGTAATTAAAAGTAGGTTAGCATTCATGTAATGAATTATTTAGAATCCTCAACAAGAAGGCTTGTCATAACAAGCATTTCTTAATTTTGATATCTTTCTTGTATTTATAAAAAGTAAGAAAGATTTTATTCAATTTAGATATAAATTAAAAAATCAGCAAAATTTACAGTAATTAATAACTGACTAGCATTCAATTTACAACATTTTAGTTATATATAGCAGTATAGTTGTCAGGAAAATTGTTCAACTATGTAATCCAACATAGTTTTTTCAAAACAAATAGATAAAAATCTCAAAAGTGAAAAATCAGAAAAAATTGGAATAACTTCTTAATTTTTGCTCTGGAAATAATATTTTGCTTTGGAGGTTTCATTTATAAGTTGCAAAACATGTTAAAGTAAATTGAGAATTTTCTATGCTAAATACTACTATAAGCCAGAAATCTGAAGAGGTTTCTAGAAGGCTTACAGAAGTGTTTAGCAGAAGAGATTTTTGGGTACAAAGAATGTAACTTAACCTGGAAAAAGGAGAAAATTAAGATTCCACTTGTAGACAAATAAGTAAAATAGCTTCCAGGTATAACAATCACGATAGAGCATGACAAACTGTATATCTAAATATATAAAATTGCTTGTCCTGACTGACTCATTCACTCACTGATTCATCATCGCCCAGAGCAAACTGCTNAATACCTGGAGATCCGGATACCCATTAAAAATATGATCTGGAGATTATAGGAATTAAAATAATTTAAATTTGATATAATTTTTGTTTTTTTAAGTTAAGTTACAACGCATTTTGATTTTGTTTTAAGTTACAACGCATTTTGATATTATTTTTAGTTAGCTATTTTATTTACTCTTGTATATACATAAGTTGTTAAAACGTTCAAATTCAAATGAAATAAATTCGAACAAATTGGTTCCATTTGGAACGATGAAATGTAAAAGCCTGAAGATAGCCTATCCAAATAGGCTGAAAACGTTCGGAATAAAGAAAAACTCGGCAAATAGAAATCAGGTGTGTTTCTTGTAATATTGCTGAGATGGAGATAGATAATGGGTCATAGTTTAAAATTACTATTCGAAATATTTTGATAGGAAATATTTTATATAGTCTATATATTAATTAATTATACACAGTGAAAAATCGATGGATTCAACACATACTTAGAATTAATACAGGAAGATACGCTGAATGAAATTTTAGTTATAAACGCCATGGATAAAAGGATAGAGGCAGACGGGGCAGACACAGACTGTAACAGGTACTTATACGGATGATAATGAAAATGAAAAATTTCCGAAATCAATGTAAATACAGCTTTAAAAACAATGGATTTACACACATTAAACATATATAACACTGTGCACTAAAGATATTTTGACAATTATTTATTTAATCACAAACTGCAAAATCAATACAAATCGAAAGCTATTAATAGGTAATAATAAATATATTAAAAATTAATTCTTTTTGCCTCTATGTCCTTACTTTTATGATATATGTTTTTAGCGTTGTCCACTTTGGACTTTTGTTTATTAATAGGACTTATTACACTGGTGTAGTTTCCGTATAGCAAACAGAGGAGGACTTAGTCATGTGAAAATAAAGATATTTTGTTTTGATTTTTCTAAGTTCTCTATTTGCTATACGGAAACTACATCAGTGTTATAAGTCCTATTAATAAACAAAGTCCAAAACAGACAACGATAAAAACAAAAATCAAATATAGTAGAATTTGTTTTAAACTTTTTTATTTGACTGAAAAACAAAAATACCAGTGTTCTATTTCTGTTCAAGAAGACAAAAACGGACGAAAAAAATAGTTTTCAAATTTAGTTCCTGGTTAAAAATACACTATAGTACAGTATACTCTCGCTAATCCAGACAATTGATGGCACAGGGATGTCCAGATTACCGAGAGTATATGTGCATGAAGTATTATGGTACTGTACGTTATATACTAACAAGAAAGAACGCTAAACTTTTATTTTACATTACAGTCTTTGGCGTACTTATGGGAAATGATGTGGTTGTTGGCTCCACAGAGACTTTAGGAATAAAATTAAAAAAAAATAAATCATCTTAAACATTAAAATTGAAACAAAAATAAATCATCTTAAACATTAAAATCATATTTTATTCATGAATAATATTTGTTGTTTATAAATAAACAGTACTTTATGGTATGCTTAATTTTTCTTCATTCTGATTGAACTTTTTACATCATCCTTCCAGATTACCCCAGGGAGAAACCTTAGTTACGCCACTGATTAAAGCAGTGTTTCTCAACGGGGGAGATATCGCCCCCATGTGGGCGTTTTTCCATGTTCAGGGGGCGATTAGCAACAATTTATATTTTGGGGGACGAAAAACAATTTTCTGAACGATATAATAAAACATTATATTAAGAATAATTAGATATTTTATTCGTTATATCGTACAATAATTAAACAAATAACATTATACTAGTCACTAGTTTGTTCAATGCAGTACGAATTTGGCGTTAGCCTTGTCCCTCGGCATCGGAATTTTATAGTGAAGGGGGCGATACTACGTAACTGTTTCATTGAAGGGGGGAGATACTACGTTGAAGGGGGCGACGATTCGTTAGAGGTTGAGAAACACTGGATTAAAGTATATATTAAGTAAAACAAATATTTACAAAAATGGTGTGCAAAAAATTCCAGATTACAAATTATATCTGTAGCAAGAGTGATACAAACTGTTTCCTCCAGAGCACAATGTCAACTGTCCGTTGCAATGATAGTTTACAAATTCAAAATCGGTCTGGAGTCGGTCGATAACGGACGATTACGCCACTGTTTATGTTCGTTCGCGCAGTTTTCGATGAGTC